GTAGTAGGGCAATGGTGTTGTCTTTTCCTGGTTTCAAAGGCTGCATTACAATAAAGAGATGTACATTTTCAGTACTTAACATTACTGATGATTATTCATCAACATTCTCATTGTATGAAAATTGTGTTAAAGCACCAATATGCAATTGCAATATGGATGTAAAGGTATTTGGTCAAAAATAAGATATCCACCATATTGCCCAACCCTAGCTAGTAAAATGTATTGGTGACTTGTTCAACAGTAACATTTCCTCTTAATTGTTGCTGCTGACACTGCATCAACGTGTTAGCAGTATTTTACTGTTGTAGCTGGTGGAGGGTAATATATATATTTTTTAATATACTCTCAGGCCTAGTCCAGTGGTTCCCTAGCTAGGGGTTGGGCCCCTCCAAAGGGTCACAAGACAAATGTGAAGGATCTTGAGACGATTCATAAAAAAGACTAAGAATCACTGGTTTAATTTTTTAACAATTTGTTGTATTTAATAAGGTCATCATATGTTTTTCTATGTAAAATATTAATCTCAAAAGTAACAAGTCTGCCAAAAAAAATGTAGTGGAGTATAAAGTTATTTCCCTTCTGAAATGTTCTCCATAAAGTACAGTTCATAAGTAATTGTACTTAGTTCCTTTCCACCAATGCATCATTGTTCAGTTTGACGGACAATGTGCTTTGAGGCAGATAATGTTACATTTTCTGTGCTTTTGTAAAGAGAGGAGCATTATTTAGGGCCGGGCCCAGAGAATAGTGACTCTTTCAAAGGGATAGCTCCCACCATTGTTGCCCTCTGCAACCACAGCTAACGGATGTCAAAAGACCTTTTTCACATCTATTCTTTTACAGCAGGTCGCTATAATTCCGGTGAGGAGTCGGCAATAAATAAGCTTCCCCTCACGGAGTCAACTAGATTAGATTGCATGGGGGACATCTGTTGAGTGTAGGTGAGCACTTTCTCTGGCTTCTCACTGTCTGGGAAAGGAAGTCCTCGGGATGTGCCTTGAGGCTTTTTCATTTTATTCATGTCTCTTTGCTGGCTTTACTCCGCCCTCCATTGAACATCCAGAAAGCTGCATTGACTCGAGCACAATCAGTGCAGCTGACAGTTATTCTAGTGTACACTGGGTGCCATTTGATTTAACATGCAATTACAGTGTCAGTGTTGCTTTTATGTTCTGCCAAATTCATATTGCAGCAGGATGTTCTGCTCTGTCATCTCCACATCCTGCCGACGGTCGTGTCTGATACGAAACAAATAACTTGTAGAATATTTAATGAGTCTGTACAAATGTGTTTTAAAAAAGAAAAACCCACCCGGTAACTTTGTGGGTTCTGCTCGCTGTTCATGTGATACCAGGAAATGTTTAACCTCTATTGTAGAGAGACAAAAGGTTGTTTTAATCCCCCTGTGAGAGGGGAGGGAGGGTCAGGGGAGGGACGTGGGAGGAGGGGAGGAGGGTGTGTGGGTGTGTTGGAGGGGGTGGGGGGTGATTTTGTGAGGGAATCGGCTCGTCTCTCTTTACTGTCACTCGGTCCCAGCAGACACATCGAGGAATACGCAGCCTCTGGGATTATGTCAACTGAACTATGCTCTCACACAGCGGATGCTCACTCTGAGGGGACTTGTTCTTATTGACTCGTACAGAGATAAAGGTGATGTATTGTCTCTTTTGTTTAATGGGTGGTTTATGACCAATAGTCACCCGTTGTGTGGAAAGTGCAGCTTTTGTGATGCTCTGGACGGTCTGCAGGTGATCCAAGTCAAATGAAGATTTGTTGTTAAAGTTCAGAAGATGTTTGGCTTCTCTTGAACTAATGAAACTTCTTTGATTCTACTGCTGGAACCTTTAATCGATCTCATCAACAATTTAGATAATCAAGAAATCGTTTTTCATTTATTAAGGAAAAATATTAAATATTTAATGGTGTAAGCCTCTAAAATGTGAGGATTTGCTGCTCTTCTTTCTTTTAATATTGTAAATTAAAGATTTTGTTTTTTTTGACTTTTGACATTTGATGATGTTGGCTTTCGCGTTCGGAACTCGTGACGGCTGTTTTTCAATGTTTTTCACTGTTGATCATGGACTTAACAATATATTGATTAGTGCTGAAACAATTAGTTGATTAACAGAACATTTTGTCAGCAACTAATTTGATAATTGATTAATCAGTAGTGATTTTAGTCATTTTTTCAAACACTTTCAAACATTCCTATAAACTATTTCAGCAATTTAAGCTTCTGAATTGTGAAGATTTGCTGTTTTTATTTTTCTCATGTGATAGTACACTGAATATCTTTGGGTTGTAGACGGTTCGACAAAACAAAACATTCAGTTTGGGCCCAAGGAAAGTGTTGCAGACATTTTCCACTATTTTTTCAATTCACAAAACAATGAATCGATAAGGAATATGATCAGTTACAGCTCTAGATGATTCCCAAAATGTCTAATAAAACAGCAAATCCATTTGTTTTTGTCTGCTAACTGAAGCCTGCAGCGTGACAGTTGAGGATGTGAGGATATTTCTTACAGTGTGCTACATTTTCAGGGAGATGTCCTCTGACAATCAGCTGGGTTTTTTAACAGTTTCATAGATAGTTTGCACTTTTCCAGCACTCACAAAACAACACATCTTCATAGCGCTGTTTATTCTGCTGAATCTCATCTTGTCTTCAGTGTAATGGCATAAAAGCAGGTCCCACGCTTCTGTGAGCCGTGTCCCGTGATGTAAATTCATCATAGAGGAAGAGAGACGGTGTTCCGGCTGCAATTATTTCTCCCCTCTTTGACGCTAATGATGCTTCATCGGGAGAGCGGTATCTTCTGCAGCCATACTCTGCCTCTCATTAGGCAAGAGTCTAAAATTAAACGCACAGGCCGCTACGCTGGTGCTGCTGAGCCGCCTTCCATTTTCTGAGGAGACACACACACAGACACACACACACACACACACACATCAAAACAACACAGCCTGCAGGAGACTACCAGCAGACTCTCATTAGAGAAATGTGTGACACCTCACTACCTTTACCCATTGTCTCAACAGGAGGACATCTCACTTTACTGGACAGCGTGATGCGACTAATGGAAACGTAAACTATCTCTTCAGAAGGTTAAATGGAGGACAAAAAAAGTTTCCCAAGTCTGTAAAGCAGCATTGCAGTTAAGTGACTGCTGTGCTGAATGAAATGAACAGCATTCAATCAACTGTGGCTTAGCATAGTCACATTACTGAATACTAAATATCTTATATTTCAGAATTTAAATTCATATAGATGTATTTCGTAAAAGATACTCTAATAATTTCCCCAGGATGAATCATTTATGATGCAGCTCTACTATTTTGTAGCTAAGGAGAAGCCTTTATTGGCCACTTGGAGGCAGCACAACCAGCTGTAACCACAACACCGATGTACTATCACTTTTTAAAGTTGACATGGCTAATGTGTTAACGAATGGTTTCTTATTCACACCAGCTATGGAGCAACATTATCATTCATTTGGAGTCGTGTTTCTGGCCGATAATGAATGTTGGTTCTTTTGATATTCATTTGATATTATCTCTTCAGGCACTAAACGTTATGTTCTGTGTGACATGTGTTGGTGGGCAGGTAATGTACAGTGGAGTGTTTTTGAATGCTGTGAGCAGTGAGAGTGAACCAGTGGGCTATAAAACCAAAACAGGCAGTTGATGGACACTAAAAACCCTCAATAGAGCTCAGAGGAACTGTAGAGTCAGGTGATGCTTTTGGGTCCCACATTCATTTGATCAGGTGTTAACATAAAGATATTCATTAGTTTCTGTTACGTCTAATCGTTTCTCCTTGTAAAATGCTGGTACACCATCTATATTCAGCTGTCTGTTTCGTTTGTCGGCACCACACGAGAGCGCTCCCCAAGGCTTTGAGGCCGCCGCGTGTCTCCTGCTGTGTGGTGTTTTGTAGTCCCGCTCAACTGTCGGCATCCGATCTCAGGCGATTTTCAGTCTTGTTTCTCTCTTCTTATCACCATGGCAGCCGAGCTGGACTGAGCTCAGCTCACCTCTGTGGTGTCGGAGAGCTGAGGTGGCGTGGCGGGATGGCTGGCTCGATGTCATGGGGGGGGGGGCGCTTTTGATGGGATCAGCCCTCCTTCAGTTCATTCAAACAGGATGTGGAAAGGTCATTTTGCTGTTGTGTTTTATTCATAGGTCTCTCAGCTGTAATCAGATGTTTCACTGCCATCTATGCACAGCGAGGCAGACATGATCCTGTAAAAGAGCTGAACAACATGATAGCTGGACTGTAGCTCTGTGCACAGGTATGGTGTCAGCAACAATGTGATGCTGTGAATGAATAGTATGTATGTCAGTGGTTTATAAATCTGGGTCAGGAGCCTTTCAAATCCAGGGCTGTGGGAAGTCCAGATTTTCTGTTGTAATATTCTATAAGAAGTAATATTTTATAGAGTCGAGCTCTAAGGCTTTCTGAATCCTTGTATTGCACAAAAGTTTGAAGTGAATTATGTACGTTTTAGGAGAATAGCATTAAGAAACGCATCAAACGTTTCTAGACATGTTTCCAGTGTGCACATGCCGCAGAATCGATTCCTGGGTGGTGAGACAAAACGGGGATCTTCAGAGAAAACAACCGAAGAACCCACATCTGTTATTTGTGTGAAACAGAATTAATGTAAACCTGTATTTCGCAATAGTATCTGGGTAGCAGTGCAGAAAGCAGTGTTCGTTAACCGGGTGGAAACGGCAGCGTCTCTCAATGGGGCTTCCACACTCTTATGTGGCGCAGCAGACTGAAGTCGATAAGCCTTTGCTAGAAGTAAATTGGATCGGCTTCTTCAATCATTTCCCCATCGATTCCGATATGTGTGTCTGTGTTCACTGTGACAGTGTTTGAGAAGAGGAGAGGATCAGGCATGAAATAAAGGAGGGGAGGACATAATAACAAGGTAGGGGAGAGAGTAGATATAATGTAAGGAGATTATTAGAGAGGAGGAGGAGGAGGGGAGACAGGACAGGTTAAGAGAGGACATGGGAGCCTTTTTTGGGCCGTGACCTCATGTTACGAGATAATCGGAAAGGAGAAGACAAAGGAAAAGGACATAATGGATCAGAACAGACTGTTCTGATCCTACCAAATTCAGAGAAGAGCAAGGAGTTGTCATGTGAAACACACTTTTGTACTTTCTACTACTAAAATTAAGATCATCCATATATCATTTAACATCACTTTCTGCTTTGGGGGTTTTGATCTAAAGGCTGAAAAAACTCTGGGATGAAGGAATTTAAGGAAAGGAGATTATTTGCTTCTCACATCTGCATATTATCCGTCTCCACATGGGATCCTGAACGTAAAGTACCAATACTAAAAGAAGGGAGGAGATGAGTAACAAAGGCACGAGACAAGAGGAGAGACGAAGGGAGGAGATGTGTCCTCTTCCAGCTCTCGGCAACAGGCTTTTGTGTCTATCAGTTTGGATTAGACACATAGAAAATCCATGTTCACACTTTGGTTTGCACAGCTTGGATGTTTGCTGTCTTTTCACCATCAAAACTAGTCACAGTTGGAAGTGATTTAAGTACATTTCCAAAGAGTCAACACACTCAAGGATGATTACGCTTAAAAAAGAAGTCGCTCCTTTCACAAGACCAAGCGTTTGACGGGGAGGAGAGATTTCAAGTAGGAACACCCCGGTGTGTAATCTGTGACAGAGCAGGAGACTTCCAATATGATAAGGATTTTAGCAGATTGTAATAAAACCAAACATGGATGAGTAGGCCCATTGTGAAGTCAAATTGATCGACTGGTTGTTAGAGAATATGCGTACTGTTGCCGTGCCGTGCTTATTAAGAAAGATTGTATTTTCTTGTGTGGTTGGTTTAAAGCCCTGGGTTGAGAAATCTTGAGTTATGAGCACTCAATTTTTTTATTCTCTCCCATTTTTGTTTAACCAGATTGAAGAAAACCACAGAAGAAGAAGAAGACGAAGCAGCAGACGACTAGCCAGGGAGGAGGAGGAGAGAGGGGATTTGAGTTTCTGTGGTAAGTTGGAAACATTTCCGTCAGGCTTTGAATCCATTTTTTTCCCCTCAAGACATATCTTCACCAACATCATCATTTTCCAAAACTGTGTGAACTTCCTGCCTCGCGGAATCAAACGTTCTTGTTCTTGTCAAAGGCATTTCCCCTCTCGTAGGATGTGAACACACACAAATGTCAGTCTGTTTGCCATGCCTGGCAAGTGTCCCCAGTCCAAATATCTCCATCTATGCTGCTGCCAGAGTGTGAATGTATTAATACGAACGCTCTCTGTGGAGCTCCTCCGTCCCTGAACGACTTCCACCGCTACGTCTCTTTCTCTCTCGCTCTCTGTTGTGATGCCTGCTCTCTTGCTCTAGCTGTACAGCAAAGGTCACCGCTTGCTGGACTGTCAAAGTGTCTTTTTGTGTCGACCTCCATTTTGGCAGCCAGGTTTGGCAGGGAATATATTAAAAAAAAACGGATTTCAAGTGTCAAACTGTCTGTTTGTTGCATATGGTTGTCAAGGTAACACACCCTCTCATCCTCACCCACTGCTGTGACGGTGGGCGTCAATACGTAGAAAATCACAAAATAGCACTTAGAGCCTTTATTATAAGCCAAGTGGCTCTCTCTTATTGACACATAATGCGTCGTAATGGAGCACGCAGATGTGTAAAAGTTCCCTAATGGCAGTTGCACATTTAAGAGCTAAAGTAGCTCCCTTAAGCAGAAGGTCTCAGTGTGCATTAGAGCCCAGAGAATTGACCCACAGCTCACACAGGTTACTTTAAATGACCCTCAGTAACCTTTGGCTCATCCCCTCATTCGGTAGTACTCAAAGAGTATCTGTGATTCAGCGGGGAGTTGATCTGATGCTCTGTGAGCGGAGGTGACACGGTGTGATGTGTGTCCACCGCCCAGCGGAGTGTGACGGTAGGATCCCACCTCGGCCTCGCAGCACGCCGAGCCGGGAGGGGAGGCTGCACGCACAGCCCGGCGGAGAGCTAAGGGACTCTGACGGCTCGGAGCTCATCTACCTCTGCTGTCGGTGCTGCTACGCTTGTTTTATTTCTGCCGATAGGTATGGGCTCTCGCTCTCTCTCAGTTTATCCATTCATGTGCCTATTTTAATCTTTCGCTTTGCCTCTGTCAGTCTGTTTGTCTCTGAATCGCTCATTCTTTCCGTTCCTCTCTCGTCATCCCGCTGTGGCAGTCGAGGGCTTGTTGTTGTGAATGTGTGCTGCCGGCCAGAGAGGCTGAGTCCACATTTTTTTCAATGGCCGAGTCATAGAGGGCCACACTTAGGAGCGGCAGACCGAATTTGCGGTTTGAAACACAGTGAGGCGTGAAGCGACCATTGTGAGCAGCGGCATTCAGGTCCCAGGCCCTTCAATAGAAGGCCGCAGAGGTTTCTGTTTACCTCCATAGTGCTGTCTTTCACTGGTTTTTTCTCACGTGGCCGACAGGGAGTGTGGTATTATTGTTTGTGTGTTTTATTGCCAAGTGGGGGGAAGGTGGGGAAAAAGATTGGGGATCGGCCAATCAGAGCTTTGCCTTCATAGAAATAGCTATGATATTGTTAACTCTACATGCGTGTGACTTTTGATTGATTGCATAACCCGGTCTTTTCATATACAGTGCAGTCAGAATGCATTTGTGGATTGATGCATTTTCTCTTTGACTCTGCTCCAGCACATTGGATTAGAAATGAGAACGTGACTGCGAGGTTAGAGTGCTGACTCCAGCATTTGACATGAAGAGAAGGACGCTTGGCCCTTTTTAAAAGCCTCAATTTTAGTGCTGCAGGACGACAATCTTCAACACACAGAAATGGCAACCGAGGAGTTATACTCTTGATCGTCTATCTGACCTCAGGCCAGCTCATCGTGTGTTTCACTTGCTCAAGACCAGACTGAAGGCGAGCAAGAAGTGCAGATGGCTGCAGTACAGGCCTGGCAGAGCAACGGCAGGGGAGATGCCAATCCTCTGATGCCTATGGGTTGTAGAATCCAGTCATTTTCTGCAAAGGATTTGCAACCAAATATTAAATATGATGAGATACTTAAAAGAAAAGAAATCTAGTGTATTGCTTAGAGTTACCATGAACCGCAAAAACATTTGCTGCATCTCATTTCATTTCTTTGCCCCCAAAACACTTAAGAAATTCCCCCTTTAATTTGTCCAATTATAAACCTTAGAATTGGCACTTTAACCTCAGAGTTATTGTTTCTTTTGAAAAGCAATGCACCGCAGCAGTTCTGAGATCAGACGAGCTGCAGATGAGTAAAGGGATCCAAACACCCACAGAGGGCCCCTGGGCAGCTCCCAGTATGCGCAGTTTCAGATGAACGCGTCGAGATATGTCTTAGGTACCAGCCTGACAATTCTCTGACGGTTCTCTGTGTCAACACTCCTGTCGGCGCATGCTACGTGCAAAAGCTACTGTGTGAGAAACGGGTTGTGTGGATGTTTATTGTGTGGATGTCTGTGTGTGTATTTCAGTGTCTCGGCAGGCCGCATGAGAATCAGGGATACACAGCTTAAGTGTCAGAAAGAAGGACATGAATAAACAGATAGATGAATAGATGGATACAAAGACAGTGAGGGAGAGAAAACGGCTGGGTGATGTGAAAGAGGTTTGTGAGGCCCCTCCTCAGGGGCTTCTGCATTTTTCAGGCTTGTAGAGGAAGCCGGCTTCATGCACAACTGACTCACAAACTGTTCAGCAGACAGCCCGGAGAGTCTGAGGAGACACCGTTCTATATCCGGCTCTGCAGCTCCGTCTTTCTTTTTCTTTTCCCAACTCCTCTCACCTGCCAACCTTCCTCCAGGCCCTGTTCTACCTCCGCTGCCCTCTCTGTGCAGTTATCTGGTCCAGTCCTTTCTTGCACTGCTGAATTCATCTATACTTACTCCTCTATAGTCTATATTCTATATAGAAAAAAACGGCTCAATTTGAAGAATTTCAAGTCGACCGAGGGGTCACCAACAGACAATCCAACTCTTTGACTTTCAGTGGGCAGCCCTACTATATTCATTTGTCAAGTTAATGACAAGTTAATTAATCTAGTGTTAATTAATAATCCTGAAGCCAGCAGCTGATTAGCTTAGCTTAGCATAAGGACATAAGCAGCCAGCCTGGCTCTTTCCAAAGTTGTGGTTCATCAGTGAGTTATATGCTGGAACTATTTTTCGGACAGAGCCAGGCTAGCTGTTTCCCCCGGCTTCCAGTCTTTATGCTAAGCTAATCATCTCCTGGCTCTAGCTCCATATTTAGTGTACAGACATGAGAGTGGTATCAATCTTCTCATCTAACTCTCGGCAAAAAATAGGCAATAAGTATAGTTTCACATTTAATGACATATTTAACAGAGTGATCCAAGAAACTGGATTTCTCACTCGAGCTAAAGAAAAAAAGATGTTCAGACAGAATACTTGACTGGCCAGAGAGGATGGATTTTTTTTGAAGTGAGAAAGTAGAGCATGTAGTCTGCTCTCTTGTAGTGATTTTATTCTTTATATTGACAGAGTGATGGTTCCTAACCATCTTAAAGCAAGCAATCTTTTTTGGGGCACACAATAATTGCCCATACCAAATGTTCTATCTCAAAGTACAGGGTTGTAAAGAAACTCAGCATGATTGAAGATGTTTTTGTTCCATCTTTTTTTAACTTATTATGCCTCTGAATCCTTCACACAGTGGACGTATTCTGAGTATCGACGTGGCTTCAGGACGGAGAATATTGTCCTCGCACCATCATAAGCTGGTGGGGTCTCTCGGTTTGAGGGGCCTCTAAGAAACCAAATGATTTATGTGGCTGTTAGGCGCGGGTCCTGGTCCAAGGCCAAGTCTATCTGCTCATCAATATAAACAGCCTGCACCGGCGGGTGTTGTGGTGGAATACAAATGGATGAATTTAGATGTAACCCCTCGCTCACCTGCATCTCCACCAATTCTAATGAGAAATCTCTCTCTTTACCTACTGAGAGAGAGAGAGAGAGAGAGAGTAAAGGAATGAGATGAATATGAGAGCACATTACAATAATATAACAAGCTATATGCTGTAGTCTTTTATCTCTGGATTTTTACCACTTAGTCAATTACATCAAACCTCTATCTACCAATATCTAATTGCAATTATTTTGACATATATTGGTATTGTGATACATTTTGCAATCTTAATGATAATAATGATCATTTTTACATTCATACATCATTACTTTTTACATTTTACAATTTTACAGACATCAGTATTGTCATCTTCATTGAAACATTGTGGGATTTCTGGTTTGGCTTCCTTTTGTTAGAATGTAACACTGAATACTCTGCTCTTAAATGATTGTAGCAAAGTGTACGCCTGCATTTGAGTCCTACTGTTTAATGCTATATTTAGGTGACCATAAAATGCATCCATTCATTCGTCACGTGCAGACAGCGGAGGGCGAGGTGGTTCCAGCAGAGCCACTGTACCATTATCGGTTATGGCAGTAATTCATTCCTCTGTCATGTGTGACCCTGAGGGCACAAACGCACTGAAACACCCTCTGGTCTCCCTCCCTGGAGGCAAGTCACACACACCTTGTCCAGCGGTGCTGCTCAACCTCCCAGTGCCGACCTTTTTATATACACGCACCGAGCGATAGGCAGTCAGAAAAAACCTCCACTACCGCCTCCACCAGCCATTATCAAACCCTCAGCAGGTACTTCTCCTGCATTAGGGACCAGTCTCATCCCGTCGAACTCAGACACAGGACAGAGGCTGTTAGCGGAAGCCGGGCGGACTGTTGGTGTTAAATGGGAGCAATGTTTCCTCCGGAATCACCATTTGACAAATGAGGGCTGATGGAGCAGTTCTTGCCGGGGCCATTATTTCTGATGGGGCCAGACGATCTGTAAGGATGGAGCACTGTTTGTCTGAGCTGCGACACCCTCTGGGCCGAACACTAAACCCACTCAAAAACGCACTCAAACTCTGCACATGATGGATGTAAAAGGGAAAATCTCTCAAGCTATAACACCA